ACCTCTTTGTTTGAATATTTATTTGTTTTATTTACTTTTTTTGCAATTCGCTTTGTTCACACTCCCGTATATGCGCACACAAATGCTGAAGTAAATACACACATGTAAAGTAAAAGAAAAAACAAAAGAAGAAGCAACCAAAACGACTATAATATTGACAGTGATTTTGTAAGTCAATGTTTGAAGTATGCTTTCGTATCGGTGTTAAATGTTTGTTTATTTAAGGGATAATTCGAAATTTCTGCCATAATTTCATTATTCAAAAGCAATTTTCCAGGAGTAACTAACGATTGTTTTTTAGTTCCGATTTAACCAAAAAAAATAAAAATTGAAAAAAATACTAACACAAACCAAAAAACGTTTCGGATGAATTGAATTGAATCCTTCGGATGGTGGTCGCTGCATATTTGAAATACAAACACTGGCTATCACTAAGTCAATGTCACACTGTGTAGCTTTCCGTGTTCATTTTCAGTTCATTCCATATAACAATGGGTTTTCTTTTCTTTGTGTGTGCTCTCCTAAATCAAAGTAAATATTCACTAAAATTTATTATCATTCACGAACACCGGAATACCATTCGCATGAATGTGTGATATTTTATGGCATTGAATGTCATTGCGATGTTTAACAGTCGATAAACAAATTCAACTAATTGAAAATTATTTATTTACATTCCTTTTCGCCTGAGAACGTATATTCATAAAAAACTTGATATTGCGATTACTTCTTCATTCTTCATGGCATTGCATTTAATGAATATAAAAATGTAAGTGAGAACCTAACATGCAACAAGGCTTTTGAAATAAGAAAAAGAATTAATCATTTCAAATAAATGATTTTTGCTATTTGAATATTTTTGGAAGATATTCGAAATGCCCAACATTTGTCAAGTATAAACGTGTGGTTGGTATGAAATAAATAAAACTCAAAACTGAACCGTTGATGCAGCAATAACGGGTTTCACTATGAAAAATTAAAATGATACTGTACATTCTCGGCTAATTCTGGAAAACAATATTATGCGAAATTCAACAACAAAATTCTTTTCTGTCTTAAATATACAAAATTTTCCATTTTGTACACATATTTTCCACAAATAATGCATATTATCAACATAAAAAATTTCAGTATAATTTTTAATTAGAGATAAACGATGCAAAAATAATGTGCACTCATGACAACATAACGCATTCAGTGACGACGTAAATATTAGCGGAGGCCGATAGAGGTCTATGACACCCCGAAATGAAAGTTGAAAATTTAAAAATTAAATTATCCTAAAAACATGTACAAAACGTGTTCTTTGCGTACCTTTAATTTAAAAAACGTGTTCTTGCATATTTTTCGAGAAAAATGTTGTACTAAAAACACGTTTTGTAAAATTTCTTAAAAAATTATTTTTTTTGAAAATGGTTTGCATTAAAAACTTGTACAAAACGTGTTCTTTACGAATTACTAAGATTTTTTTAATTTTTTCAATTTTTTCCCAAAAAAATTCTACATTGAAATTTCAAAATTGAAAATACAAAAAAAAATTAAAAATGTTATATATCAAAAACATGTACAAAACGTGTTCTTTCCGATGCCTTTGGAATTATTTTATTCAGGCGAGTGAAAATATTTTTACAGCATACCGAAAATTTGGACTGTATACCGATAGACGTAAAACCATTACGACAAAGTGCATGAGTTTGGGTGTGCAATAGAGCTTTGCGGTAAATTTAATTCAAAAAAACAAAGTAAGCGATAGTGCATCGCTATGAATCTAAATACATGCATTTTTTATTTTTGCAATGCAACGCTTTCCGAGCACTCAACTTTTTGCTTTCTTAGTGCGCGTAATCTGAACAAAATTACAACATGCGTCTCTCTTATTATTGTTGTTATTACTCTCTTCTAGGCGACTGTTCTGCGCAACTTATACCTACAACACGACCATTTTTTGTGTTCGACAACGGCATTTACAATCATCGCGTACGCTTGAGAATCGCATCTTTGAGTGCATTGTGTTCAATTGTCGCTCTTCATTTGCTGCTCATATTTTATCGTTCATGGATTTTACTGCTTCTCGCCTGAATTTTGATTCATTCCTAACAAGTCCCATTTATTTTAAATCTTGTCATTATTTTTTCAATTTTTCCATCTATTACTTTCAACATGTATATAAAGTTTATATTATAAACCAAACACGTGAATTTCAATTGGCGTTAGTATTTTAATTATAAGATTACGATCGTATATCAGCAATAAATTTCTAGACCTCCATCGTAGTTTTTGGACTATGTAGAAGTCATTCATTCGATAGTATCAACTCTATACTTCTATTATCGTTATTGCTGGTGGATTTTTTCACTTTGTCAATTTCATGCAAGAGAATATTAAATTGAAAATCTCATAAAACAGAACTTATAGTTTAAAGTGCATTATTTTTAAACACACGAGACATCTATTTTCTTCGGAATATGACAAGAACCTTATTCAAATAATATTCTATATGTATCTCAAACATGATGGGAAAATAATATTAGGTTATATAGCAGCAGATTACGTAATTGCATATAAAAGGGGCAAATTCAAAATGTTGTATATGGCATAATTAGGTCCTTGTGTGCATAAATTGTACGAAGATCAAAGCCACAACCGATGGAAGCATTTCAAACTTTGAGTCTGATGGTGTTTATGGTATTTATAAGTACAGCGAACACGTATGTCAGGAATACGAATATTACTCAATACTCACGACATTTTTATCTCGACATACGTGAAACGCCTTTGTTTGCCTTTATACTAAACGGTGTGATAATATAATGGAAAAATTAGTTCAAATCTCTCGCTTGCAAGTGCCATTATACCAAGCCATCCAAAAAGCGATATAAATACGGACACCAAGGTATTTGACAAAGAAAAACACTGGAACTTCACAGCACGTCATTTTATGTACAATTTAAAAGAATTAAAATGTGAATGAATACAACTCAAGTCATGAAAATATAAATTACCTGTTTTATTCTACAGCATTTTACAAATAAATTTTTCCCTTTCAAATTACAAAGAGGATGTTTGAAAATAGTCTTATTTCCAAGGAAAAAACAGACTTATTTGTTTTGATATGCATTCAATGAGATCTTTCCAAATAAAATTAAATTTCATAAAAATTAAAATTACAATCTACAAACTTTTAGTCATACGTTTTTTTAAACATTTGTAGACATTTAAGACGAAATGTCTCCTAAACAGTAAGTATAAAGAAGCCATAAGAAAACCATCGATTTATTGCCTAAAACGATAAAAAATAAAATTCACATATAGTTGGCGCTGCATTCTATGCAAACTTGATTTCCGTTGCAACGGACTAAGTGGAAAGTATACGCTTAATATACACATAGAATGGAGCGCCAACTATACGTGAATTTTATTTTTTTATCATTTTAGGCAGAATTCTTATCGCTTCTTTTCTTGATTGAGAAAACAGCCTTTAAAATAAGATTCACTGTAACAGCATGAAGAGAGCCGAGAGATTTGATTTTTTTTTTGTCTTGATACAGTCAAAATTTTAAATCATAATGGTGGTGATGGAAAACATGTAGCATATTGAAGATACTTCTATCAAAGTTAATGATCACAAAAAACTTCGAACTATAGTTTGGAAAACAAATTTTTTTTTATGTAATTGATACAAATTTTCGTGCATCTATTGTTGCATTGGTCTCAAAATTTTCTCTCCTGAATTGTTGAATTTATAAATGAACGAATTAGATTCAACGAAAAATGATCAGAATTTTAATCAATATTCTTGTCCTTTTTTCGTTTTTTCCTTCAATATTTAACGTATCATTCGTTTAAAGTGCATGACATTTGTATTTCGAGAAATATGAAGGCATTCACGACCAACCATGAACAATGACTGCGGTGGATTTAACATATGAACGGGTTTGTAAAAGCGCGTTTTCTCCATTAACTAGATGGATCGGCTCACGCATATTTCATTCCACCCTACACTTGCTGTTGCGATTCGTTCTTGTATAGAAACAAAGGCGTGTTATAAATATGCGAAGAACATACGAACAAACTCAGTGCAGAGCACCAATCTACTGTTAAAAGAATGGAAACCATATTAAGAGGCGGAGCCAGTTTCTTGTTTATCCACTGAAACGATACTCTGCTCTCTGTCGAAAGCGTGCACACAAATGCTCAACACACACATACACATATATGAAGTAAATCTTAGCACTCAGTGAGAGCGCACCAACCAAGTTGAGAGCTGGGCTCAAATGATAGCACTTTGTAACATTCGATTGACCTTACACGCATGTGGTGGATATGTACAAAGACTTCCCCATTCTTTTTTACAAAAAATATCACTCATTGCCTATTTCTTTCCTCTTTTGCTCTATTGTAAAACTTGAATGTTGTTTTCTCGTTTGTTTCTTTGCGTATTGTGTGGCCTTTGTTTGTACAGCAATTATCATAGGCTACAAATAACTTAAAATGTTTATGTCAATGAAAGCAATTTTTATTCGTTCAGAATGTTTCTAGCCAAATTTGGTAACTTTCTTATTTGCAAACCTATAATTTTAACACTTTTTTTAAACGGTAGAGAATATATTTCGTACTTTTTACTGAGATCAGGATCAATGTTTTAGTTTTATTGGTGTTCGAATTCCGAGTACGATTCCTTATTTCAAAATACGTATCATGATCATAATAAAACGAATGCACATATACAAACCAAACATATTGGAATCATTCCATTGACGATCACGAGTGAAGAATGAGCGAAAAAGAGACCAACGACGTAGCCAAAATGGATTGTGAATACAGAACAATATTGGGTGTGTTTGTTGGTGTAACAGTATTAGTGCGCTGGGTATGATTGCGTGTCAGAGTGTGCGTGCATCGTTATGTGTTAATGTTGTTTTGTGAAACGCTGGAAAACAGAAGGTAAACGAGATATTTTTTATTGTTCAATCAGTTACAGAAAAACGTTCAAACAGTAAGCACACATAATTTTTTTTTTGGATCAAGACACAAGAAAAACACATCACAACAGCTCAAATATTGAAATAAAAAATAACACAACATAAAATAGAAAAAAAAACGAAAACAGACACTACAGCAAAAGATAAAAAGTAATAAAACTATTGTATGTGCATTGAGAAGCACAAATCAACAATACTTTCAATAAAAATATACATTTCCGATGAATAAAAACACTCGTCCGACTACAAAAATATAAAGTGAGCTCAGAAAAATATTTCCAAAGGCGATAAACTTTTATAAACGGACAAATATTTCGTTATTGGATTTTATCCTGAGCTATCGTTTTACAAATAAGTTATGCTAATTGAATTGTGCTCTGATTTGAAGTTTTTTAAGATAGTTTGCAGTAACAAATAATTTTGAAGATATCAGAACCTAAATCAATAATTTAAATGTGTAAAATTGTGATATAAAAAACGAAATTTGAAAATATTAGAACTAAGATAAAGTTGTGCAAAGAGATAAAGTTACAAAAAAATTCAAGAGTATAAATAAAAATTACGTGACAATTTCAAGAACTCAAAACGAATTAGTTTTTAAAAAGTGTTGTCAAACAATAATTCTGGTTTTATATTTTTGAAATACAAACATTCAATTTGAAAAATTTCTATATCATGATGATGGCAACACATCCACATTATGGATTTCTGCCAGGTGGATTACAAATGCCACAACATGGTGACTATGCGCCGCAACCGTCGCAATCACCGAACGATCATTTGTCAATTAAACGTGAACCAAACAATTATCAGTCGGCAAATGGTATGATTCACTCATCGAGTATGGGTCAATCACCACCAAATAATAATTTAACTGGTGTTCAAATGTCTCCAGGCGGTGATGGTCACATCAAACGGCCAATGAATGCATTTATGGTGTGGTCTCGTTTGAAGCGTCGTCAAATTGCCAAAGACAATCCAAAAATGCATAATTCCGAAATTTCAAAACGTTTGGGGGCCGAATGGAAACTTCTGACTGAGGATGATAAGCGTCCATTTATTGATGAAGCGAAACGTTTGCGCTCCGAACATATGAAAGATCATCCGGATTATAAATATCGGCCAAGAAGAAAGCCAAAGAATCCATTGTCAGCTACAAATGGTGCGGTTGGTTTATCGAGTTTGGGGGGAATTTCAAGTACTGGCAAAGGTCACATAAGCGCTACATACAATCCATTTCATCAGCTATCAGTACCACCATATTTTGCACCATCGCATGCTCTCGAACAGTATCCATACTTTAGTGGTTTCGACCCATTAACATTATCAAAGTTCCATCAATCTCAGAATGCAAGCACAGTACAACCAACCGCATTAGAAGCACAAAAAGCGCCACAGCTACCTCCAACCTCACTGGGTTCATTTTACTCGGGCATCTATTCGGGTATGTCAGCCGCCGCAGCTCCATTGTATGCTGCACATGCAGCCAGCAGCATTTATACGTCATCAACATCATCTACATCTCCCGGCTCAAGTCCTGGTATTGGCAACGGTAGCCACAATAATCAAACGAATGGAAACACAAACACATCAAATATGGATGTTATGGATATACGAAGACCGGTACAAGTGATTTACTAAAACCCACTTTGACTGTTAATTGAACAATATGAAATAATAAAGAGTAAAAATCCCGCAAGAGAACATTAGTTTTGTTTGGATGATATTCATCAGCACTCATGATCTTCAAAAAAAAAACCATCCATACAAAACATTAGTAGAAAAATAGCAATATCCATACGTGAAATGTTCTCATCGTTGTTGTCATTTGCTGTCGAACGTTATGGAAAACATTGTACAAACAAAGTAAATATCATTATTGTTATTCGAGGCTTAAAAACTATCCACAAGACTGCGCTATTTACAGATTTTACCATCAGTCTGCTGGTCTTGGTGAAAAGTCTTTGAATCCCGCATAAAAATTGATTCTTAAAATTAAATAATTATCATTATTCTAACAATTATTATTGCACACAAAACCAATCACACTTGAGACAAATTTAACATTAAACAAAAAAAAAATGAAAAAAATTAGATGAAAAAAATCCCTTTGTATTATCCAAATATTTTATCTAAATTTATTTAAAATTAATTCAAGTAGGAACACTTTCGATGGCGAAGAAAAACAATGGTAGTTTCAGAGGACGCAGACAACAGACTATATGAACACAACCATAATTTATTAGAATGTAACGGAAAATCTTTATTATTCTAGAGCAAGAAAAAAAAACTAAGTAATAATTTCTATGTAACATACTATATATATATATTGAGAAATCATAAGAAAATCTACGTTTTATTTTATATTTTCAATGAAAACACTACAAAATTTTAATAAATACGATTCGAAAAAAAAACATTCCACACATATACACTCACATTAAAACGAAAAAATCGATTTAAATATAAAAGGCCCAAAAATGATTGCACTGGCATCAAAGAAAAATGAACAAATAAAATAAAATAAATATTCCTCAAAAAATAGAATAGAAGAAGTAAGAAATCAAGAAGTAAATAAGCCACAAAACTCTCAAAAAAATTTATAATAATGTTTTAATTTTATCGATGAAACAGTCTTCTTTTCACGAAACGGTGCGCATTAATTGATTTGTGTTGTTCTTGTGTTTTAATTAAAATGTGATAAGAATCGATGAAAATCGCTCACAAATGGAAAAAATATAAGATTTCAGTATTATCATATGTTTATTCATGGTGACATTTTTTTAGCAAATTTTCAGTTCTTCTAGGCAGCAGAAAATAAGTTTCTTTTGTCTTCTTAATTCTTACTATTCATTTAAGCATTTAGACATATTACAAATTATACATAATTAGTGAAAAATAAAATCTATAGATATTGTGAAAAAAAAACTAATCGACCCAAATGTTTGTATTGGTAGCAAATAATTTTATTTCAGAAAATGCGAAAGAGTTAAAATCACAGACAACAAAAGAAGCTAGTCAATAGGTATAATTTTTTTAAGTAATATCTTACGGGAAATATTTCTTCATTTCACAACATGATTACTGATTTTTTTTTAGTTATTTATCACTGCTCATCATTGTCGCTCACGTGCGCCACGCTTTGACGTATTAGCGCATGGGTGTTAGAACTTCAATAAGTTTAATTATTCATTCATTCATTTTAAGCGTCGGTTATTGTCTACTTTTCTTTGTGTTTATGTGAGTTTTTTGCCGTTATTGTTTCGTTATCTCCATCGTCGTGAATATTTGATATTCATTCATAGCAATCAACTTTCGGCTATGTTTGTTGAATTGACATTATTCCGCTTATTATTACAATGATAATTACTTTTTTTAAATAATATTTTGCATTGTTTTGTTATGTTTGGCGCTTTTGTTGTCGATAAATGAATACAAACACATCTAAAAGAAAAATCAATGCTTTCTCATTGTTAAATCAACAATTTCATTTAATTAGTTTATGACCATGTATATCCCGGACAAGTCACAATAATCAGCAGCTCCAATTATGCAAAAGTATCTGCATAAAAAAAAACAAACATTGTAAGAATTATGTGCCCAAAGATTGGATAAATCAAACAACACACTATGCGTGTAGTGTGTGATCCACAACGTATGTTACTCACCAGTCAGTATTCGTAATAAATAACATGAAATACTTATCAAGAGTTTCACACATCAAAAGCCGATTTACCACCTAAAATACTGTCAAATGAATTTTCTCTCGCATATTTACAATGATTACTGTTATTTGACAAGCATTTTACTGGGGTACTTGTTATGTCGGCACCAAATAATCGTTTATCAAGCTGGACGCGACCCTATTTTCAAACATTGGTTAGAAAATCTTGAATCTGATGTTTTTCACATTGATGTTTCTGCCCAATTCATGATGTTTAGTTCACAAGTCAGCATCAGCCACGTTTACAGCATGTAATTTTCATGTCACAGCCGCCGCCGTTTTTGTTGTTTGCTGCTGCTACTGCCCTTCTTTTATGCACGCCGTATTCGAGTACCTGGATTTAATTCTCATTCACAGCGTGTATGCACTTCTCTGGAGAACGATTTAATTTGATTTTCCATTTAGTTTGAAACACTTGAGATATTCCCCTTTTGGTGGTATATTTGCTTGTTATATTACCAAAAATCGGGCCATCAATGGCCATTGCGACTCTTTTTTTTCAGCAAACAAACCATTTTAGAGACATTTTCGATACTTTGTGTCGATTTTATCGTAAAATTTTTTCCATTCAATTATGGATTAATTTGTGGCTGATTTTGTGAAGGCCGTAAAAGATGTTTCACCGTCAACAATCTTCACGCAATTTAACAATAACAGATTTTCATCAAATTAATTATCCCTTTATCAACATTTTTTAAGAGCCACAAAATAATGATTAAACACGTAAACAATCATTCAGATTCATCAGTTTGCTCTTGTCTTTTATCGTACTGTTCGTTAATATCGTATACAATGTTTAGGGTGATGTTAATATTCATTGGAATTGAGGGGTTCTGTATGGAATGCGTCGGTTTTGAATCGAAACCACTCACATTAAGCAATTTTTGTACAATAGGAACTCATATAAAATGTAATTCTTGCATGGTTACAATTATACTGTCTACTTGAATGGGAGCACAATAACAATTTCAATGTTTCAATAAATTTATGCACACCAATTGTGAAACGACACTTGAAATGCTATCGAATCACAATCACTGAGATGAATAACTACAAAATTTGTAACTAGCCACTGGGGTCATAATTTCAATGAGGAATGACATAAATGCGCTTCAAAACTCAAAAAATTCAAAAATCTAAATACAAAACACATTCCGATATAATGGAGCAATACAGTTTTGTAAGTTTTTCTTCAGATTCATAAAAGTAAGTCTAGGGGCTTTCATCATTCGTTCATACAAATTTATACACAATATTCACGTCCTATTCATCATATATACGATTAAAATTTCTCGCCTATACCAGTGAATAAGATGTATTTCAAACTTCAGTGTACACACACACACACACACACAGTATTGCTACACAGAATCGAAGAAGATCCGCACAAAAGAGAATGAAATAACATGCCATAGACGAAATATACACGAAATATACACCAAATATATGCAGTTATGCACATTTATTTGCGCGTATTACAGATGATTTTGCAATATAGTTCACTATTTACAGTATAAATCGTATACATTTGAAGATAAAAGCCCCTAGAAGTAAGTCCCAGATCACAGCTTTATATTTAATTAGCGTGCTAAAACAAAGTGAATATTTTTATATTATGCTATTTATTCTGTCGGCTAGAATATTTTTGACCTCAAGAAATTTGTCAAAATAAAACTGCAACGTACATTTTTTAAATGAACATGTTGGTCATTATTTTTATAAATTTCCAATGAAAATTTTAATACACATTGGGTTTAATATTTGTTTATAAATAATAAGTGACAAAATTTATAATTATTTTACAAAAAATATCAATACTACTATAAATAATTCAATAACCAAGTTAAAATGATATAAATAAAGCAATCAAGTTCTTTTGGAACAAACAATTTTGAATTTACACAAAATTATTTAAAAAAATTCAGTTACGTGGTATAAATCTGCCAAAAAATTGAAGATTTTGTTCTGTATTTGAAAATAGATGATATTTTTTTGTTCCTTATTTCATTTTTTTTCTATTTTTCGTCTCGAAAAACGAATGTGTAAAGTATCACAAATCTTCAGCTTAGGTCCACCAAAGCAGCATCGAAGTTTAAAGTGGCAAACGATTATAATGAGCGCACGATAAAAAGGTCAACATTGTTTAGAAAAGAACGACAAAAAAATAACAAGAGTGAAAACACACACGCATATTTTCGCAACATTGCGTCCAAAGCAGCAACGAAATATGCAAAACGAGAAAAATTAAGTATAAAAAATATGATCGTAATAAACGACACTAAAAAAGTGGCCCAAACTCAGCAAACATTGAAGCAGAAGAATAAACCAGCAAGCGATTAAATGGTATCGAGAACAAATGAAAAATACAAATAAATAAGAATTAACGCCGAACGAGAAGAAGAGAGAATTCATGCGAATCCTGAAATAGCAATAATATAAATAAAAATTGCCAAACCGCATGCAACAAATTTCGATTTAGCATTCATTTCATTTTTTTTTTATTTCGTCGCTAATTTCTATTTTTGCAAAAACTTCGATTTAAAAACCACCATGAATTAATTCGCGATGCTTGCTGTGATCAATCTTTTATTTAAAATTGTCTACATTTCATAAAAAAAATCTAAATTTCATTTCTTCTTATTGTCTCGCATAACAATCGCTTTGTTTTTTATGAGCGTTGTTTTTTTGTGTCGAAACAACTTTCTTCATTGCAAGATTCATAATCATTGATCCATCAAATTGAAGAAAAAAAATAAATATATATGTTGAATTCTATACAAATAAGTTGGTTTTGTATATTACAAACAGAAACTTCAGTAAGCTACAGCATTTAATATTGGATTGTGATTTATTAAAAAAAACCTATTGAAAGTGTGAACTATTTCGTTCAGATTTTAGTGTGAAAATTTACATTCATTGGTATGTCCTATCCATAGTTAAGTGAGTTTTCTGAATATTTCTGACCATCACTGGTCATCACTGAATCATCATGAAAACCGAGCTGCTTCAACGAGACACACGTCGTGCAATACATTTAAATGGATTCAAAACGGGCGTAGCCCATAAAATCCATATTTCGTTATTTGAATCGTATTTTATATGCACCTTAACAACGCTGTATGTTAATACCTCATTTGTAAAAAAATATATGAAACAGAATAAATTCAGGAAGTTTGTATGAAATTCTCTATCAACTTCAGTTGAACTCCAAACTTTGAGTATTTATTTATATCTTGATTTTCATGAAGTGACAATTAACAGAACATTTACATTCGATTGTATTCAGTAGGCGAAATAGTTGACACATGCAATGCAGTTGACTTCCTCTACATATGTGTTGTTGGAAACAAATAAAAACTCCAGGCTTACCTAACAACTAATTGCTATCGAACTTCCTTTCATTGTTTACCATGATGAATTATTTTATAAAATACAAAATGACAAATATGTTTCCATAATACCAGATCCAGAATCATCAGAAGCTCTACCTTTTTTCGCTTTTTTATTGACTAAGTGCATTTTTTAAACTGTTGGCTTAGTAATACGGTTTTTGTTAGCATATTTAATTTAGAACGTATGTGTTTTGGCCTATTCATCGTTAGCACAATTTTTTTGGTGCCAAATGAAAACTAAAAATAACTATAAATACAAACATAAATATTCCAGCCATTATGTTGATGTTGAAACAGTTTTAAATTGAATTACAAAAGAGGCACATTGCAGACAGTTTACATTTAACCGTACACATAATACGCGATTCATTTGATTCAACGTAGACTTGATTTATTTTAAATCAATTTGTCTATGTTTTGTTCTGTATATTAGGTATAATCGGAAACCAACTAAAATGATACAACTAAAACAAACCACCGCCACGTGAATGAAACATTCGTGAGTTGTGTTTAAAATTGAAAACGAGCCTTGGATTGAATCAATACTCAAATCATACTCACCTAATTGACAGATGATGCTTGTATAATATTGGAAAAATCCAACATTGGTTAGATAAACGATACAGAATAACACGAGAACGATTTTTATTGTTAATTTTAAATGCAAACATTTTGTAATCTTCTGTGGCGTACTAATGTTCGTTGA